GTCAGCCGGGCCTGCCCCAGCCCCCACTTCCTTCTCTGCCTCGGCCACATGGTCAGCCGCCTCCCCAGCGTCACGGTCCTCCAGGGTGCAGCACCCAGCCTCCCCTCCTAGGAGGGAGAGGGAAGGGCAGGGACGGGGAGAGAGTGAACAGTACTTTGCAGACAAGAGGCACTTAATAAACAGGAAGAGTGGCGGGGTTCACGAGCCGTGAAAACCCTATGAGCTAGACGGGGCAGGTAGGAAGCGACCACTCGTCACTCTTCTCTTTGCAGGTTTTTGCCATAATGTACGTGTGCTTGCTAGAGAGAGACAGAGACAGAGAGAGGGAAATGAGCAATCACTCTGCAGGAAGGATGGCTGTGCCGCAATCCTTCTTCCATTTGCCCAGCCTCCAGGTCCGAGACTCAAACTGCAGTCAGCCATGTGGGGACCAGCGCCTGAATCACCATGCCACCTGCCAGCCTGCCATCACAGTGTCTTTAGAGAAGAGACCGAGGGCCAGAAGGGAAGGGGCTTGCCCGAGGTGGCCAGAGGCACGGCAGCCCTTACTTGAAGTGTCAATAACCGTCAGGCAGGCCTCCGGGGACTTCTCATTAGGAAGACGCGTGTGCTCCGCTGGGTTGTGTCCAATGCAGCAAGGCCTGGAATTTTCTCCATCTCATTCATGTGTGAAGTTCGATTCAATGGAATCACAATTATTTGACTAGCGGGGGCGGGGATGTTTTCAGATCAGCAATGACTTCGGGGACTGCACGAAATAAAATGCTGTCTTGGAGACTTCGCAGCCATCTTGGGCTGCACCCCTGCCAGGCCCTTTTACACACAGTGGGCTCACTTAACCCTCACAGCACCCACGAGGGCGGCCATGTTGTCCCACCTCACAGAGGAGATGGAGGCCCGGGGAGGAGGGAGACGGCAGGCAGACAGCAGTGACATCACAGCTGGCATGGACGAGCCCTTGACTCAGAGTACAGCGTCCGCATGGCCTCGTCGGCTTCTCTTATCACCCCAGGAGGTAAGCATTATCGTTCTCCCCACCTCATGGGTGAGGAACAGGCCAGAGAGGTCACGTAACTTGCTCAGATCACACAGCAAGTAAGTGACGAAGTTGCCGTTTGAACCCAAGCTGTCTGGCCTCCGTCCCTGCCCAGGCAGAGCTGGGGCTGGATGCTCAGGTAACTCAGGTGACTGAACCAGAGATGTCGAGGGCACCTGTCCCCTAAGCTATCCCTGCTGTCAGCTCAGGGCCGCCCCACACGGGCAGGCACAGCAGGGCAAAAACACACCGTCGCATCCCCAGGACGCCGTCTGCCCACGGTTGTGACAGCCCCACGTGTGCAGAACCACATGAGGACCAGTCTCCTCCCTACGAAGCAGAAAATCAAGGCCCAGAGAGGGCATGTAACCTGCCCAAGATCACACAGCCACAGCCCTGCTCCTCCCTCCCTGAGCAGCCCCCAGTTGTGAAGGCCCCAGGGGTTCAACTGGAGGAGCGAGGGAGGTGAGGCCTGGCTGTCCCCTGACTCACCTCGGGGACAGGACTTCCTCTCTCCCTGACTCTGGCCGAGTCCCACAGCACTTGGATGAAGAGGGCACGGACATTCCCAGCAGACGGGACACGGGTGAAGGGAAGCCACACGGGGAGCAGGAGTGGAGACTCCCCGGGGCCAGATAACGGGCCTCCATGTCGGTCGAGCCTGCGCTTTGTCCAGGTCAACAGGGAGCCATGAAGGCTTTGGAGCAGGGGAACGTGGTCACTAAGCAGAGCCACTACGGCGGCTGCCTTCCTCCGCTCTCCCTGATTCTTTCCTGACTGCCACAGATCACGCTCCACCCACAGCCAGACGGACCCCAGGAACACCCAAGTCAGGTCAGATCCCTCCTCTGCTCAGAACCCTCCACAGCTCCCACCTCATGCAGAGAAAAAGGCAAAGTCCTCCTGAGGGCTCACAGGGCCCCGTGTGATCCATGCCCCGTCCCCCTCTGCCTCCCCTCTCCCACTCCGTCCCCCACTCACTCCGACCCAGCCACCAGGGACTCCTCCTCCACGCACCTCCAA